GTTTTCAGGGGCTGGGAGGTGGGGGAAATGGGGAGATGCTGGCCAAAGGTACAAACTTTCAGTTATAAGATTAATAAGTTCTGAGGATCTAATGTACAGCCTGGTTAGAGTTAATAGTACTGTATTGTATTAAAATTTGCTAAGAGAGTGCATCTCAAGTGTTCCCACCACACACAGAAAGGGGATCTGTGTGAGGTAAGGGATGTGTTAATTAGCTTGATGGTTGGCGGTAATCCTTTCACGATGTATATGTACATCAAATCATCATGTCGTACACCTTAAATATATATAGTTTTCATTTGTCAATTATACCTCAATAAATCTGAGGGAAAATAAAAATAAAGTGCTTAAAAGAAAAAACAACACAAGATGGCATACATAGCCTCTGCAATTAGGTTGAACAGCCACAAACAGCTTTCGCAGCTCTAAGCAAAAACTTCCCTACGGAGGCCTTTGAGGGTCTCTAAATCTGGAGAGTAGCTTCCTCTTAGCATCTTGGGAGTTAGACGAAGACACATCCTATAGGTAGGTGAGAAATGGACTTTCCTTTTACAAATCAGTAGCTTAGCAGGGTCTACACATCTCACGACAGCCTCAAAGTTATTTGAAAGTAGTTTCTGTAAGTGCAATTTATCATTTATTGACCACTGTTTAGGTCTCAGATTTAAAATGTTAACTTTGACTACATGGAGTCATTCTACGTCTTTCCCCTCCCACGGAGAGCAGGTTTCAATTATGTAATTATGGTTAAAGAGAACTGAAGCGTGTTTTACTCGTACGCCTTCATCCTGATTGGATAATGGTTTGCAATGACTGGTTGAGAGCTGTGGAAACACAAATATGAGGCAAAAAGCTTGGATATCTATGTAAATATTTACAAACATACTAGACTATAAACTGTGAGGTGAGGGCCTGTGTTTATCACATTTGTGATGGTTATATCCTCAGCATTTGGGCTCAGTTGATAATCCCAACTAGTGGGTATGTGCTGAACTTTCCCAATCCACAACTACTTATTGAACCTTAATTTTGTGTTAGACACTTTGCATTCTATGTGCATCGTGTAACCAAAGTGACCAAGATAGACAAAGTCTCTGCCCTCATGGAGCTTGTAGTCCAGGGGCAGAGAGAGATCAGTGACAATGAAGAAAAACGACACAGTGAAATGGGATAGAGCGTTGTGCCGTGCAGGGGTGGGGGGTCGGAACGTTACCATTGTAAAGAGTGTGCTGTGAGAAGCCTCCTGAAGAGGGATCATAGTGATTACCAACAACTTTTACTAGATAGAGATAGAGTGATAAAGACAGATTGAGATATATAAAGCCACAGTGTCAGGGCTCCAAAGCAATTGCTTCCAATACAGCAGGTAAGCTCTCTCTCTTTGTGTTTTTTATTTGGGGTATCTTATATGAGTCTTGAAAAAGAGGTGACTAAAGCATTGAATTTTAGATTAGAACGTGTTAATGAATTGCAAAATATGTTCCCTTTTCTTGGGAGGAACAGTTTACACAGCACGAGAGAGCAGCTTGGCGGTGGGCTTGACTGGACTGTTAATTGCATAAACATTTTGTGTATTTCTAACTCCCTACCTCTCCCGCAGCCAATCCCACCAGGGTAAGTCTCTTAAGTCCTGTTGAAGGTTCACATCCAAGTACAAACTATGGCTCACGAGATGACTTAACAAAAAAAATTTCTGAAAACATTTAAAGTGCAGCTCAGAGTTCACGGTGAGAAACTGCCCTTTGCACAAACAAAACATTTAAATGACGAAGATTCTCTAGAGTCGGAATTAACACAGGTTTCCTTTTCTCATTTATTTTGAAAAATCGATCTCCAGTTTCTAACAACATCTAGTAGGTGTTCGCTCGGTGTTGTCCACCCCGCCCCACCCCACCCCAGAGCCTGCCTAACGGGGAAAAGAAATCCTGTTGTTTGGAGGTTTGGTTTTGTTTTCTTAGCCAAGTACTTAAATCACCACGGTTTCATAAGTACCTTTTGATGGGTTTCATTGTTTTGTTTATTTTGCTTTAGTCAGTGCAGAAACCTTCAACTTTCCTTCTATAACAAACTTTTTTCAGAGCCCTCGCCGTCCGACCCGTCGGGGGAGGCGGTCGGCAGCCGACCTCGCGGCCCGGAGGCTTCCGCGCGGCCTCTCTCAGCAGCCGGCTCTCAAGCTAAGAGCACGAATGAGCGTTTCGCTCATCTCTCCAAAAAGCACGCTCTTGGTGCGCTCGCCTTTCTTTATCGGGTCCTCGGCAATGAACACGCAGTGGGACATCGGTTTTTCACATACCGAGGTTTTGTCTTAAATTTCTGGGAAGTTTCTCTCCTCGTCTGACGTTTCACTTCCCCGAGGGGTCCATCTCTTTAACGCGCTACACAAAACCTCCTCTCGCGGCGACTGCCTCTCCCTTTTTGAAACGGCCTGGGAAGGGAAGCCCAGACTTTCGAGGGTCCCTTTGGGGTTAGCGTGCCCTCTCCCCCACGGCCCTTTCTGTGCACTCACAGCCGAGGCGCCGGCTTCCGCGCAGAGCGCCGGCGGCGGGCGAGGCGAGGAGGGGGTCAGGT